TTCCTGGATGTGGCCGGGCTCCCGGGGATGGGGGTGCGGGGATTGTGGAATATTCTGTCTCCAAGCAGTATCATTTTCATTCTTTCAAAGGCTCTGCAACATTCCGGGTTATACCACCCCCGCTTTTCCCACCCGCCTGTCGCTCCTCTTCGCACCTGCTCATCCGCCACAGAACCTGGTGTTTGGGTCCACATCCAGGTGAGGGGGTTTGCAGCAAAACTACTCAGTCTTCCAGGTAGGTGAGGTGAGGCGGGGGAAGGGGAGACCAGCCCGTCGGGTAGGTGCAGCCAGCTTCCCTCGGCCCCCGAAGGGTGCCAGTCCTCTGGTGTATGTGAGGGCCTGCGTGGGTGGGGTGGGGTGGGGGCTGCTCCCTGGAGCGCTAAGCTGGGCAGCGGCGCCCGGGCGACCCCTGGCGGTCGCGTTGGATAGCGCATCCCGCCCGGAGCGGGTGTGCAGGGACCTCTGCCGGCCGAGGGCCGTTTTTTCCTTTTCCTCGAATTTTGCCTCGGGATTTTGCCTCGGGTAGTGCTGTTATTATTCCTGTTTTTCAGTTAAGAAAACAGGCACAGGAGTAATTTATCCAAAGTTTAACTGACCAGGAAGGGATGTGAATCGAGTATTTTGACTGCAGTGTCGGCGAGAAGACCAAGATATCTAATATGACCTCAAGTTATGTCAACAAAAATGTGGGCACAGAGCTTTCCCCTGGGCCCAACGGATCCCACAACTCCTAGGGGCTGTGTTGAGCCCTGGGTACCCCACTTTCAGAAGACCATCAGCAACAAACCACAGCACGTTCAGACTGAGTGGCCAGAATGGTGAGAAGATTCCAAGTCCAGTCATGTGAGGAAAGATATCTGAGCCTGGAGAAGGGACCTAGGGTAACAGGAGGGAATTCTGCACACCCGAAAGGCTGCGGAGGGAAGAGGGGTCCGGAGCTCCCCGGGTCCCACGGTGGAGACTGGGCAGGCAGATTTCTGTGGTCTAGAGCCTTCCCCTGGCCAGGCTGCCTCCAAAGGAAGAAACCACGTGCTCACTGCAGCCTGAGAGGACTGGCCACTCACTGGCTGGTGGGGAGGATTTGGAGAGATGTAAGGAGACCCATCAGGGCATGCATAGCCTCCTGAGGGGATGCAGGGCAGTGGGCCTGAGGAACAAGGCAGGAGGCCCGGCCAGCCCTGGGGAGGGGCCCAGAGCTGGCTGGTCTATTTTCTCTGCAGGGAGCTCATGAGATCAGGGTGCTTCAGGGATGGACGCTGCCCTGGGGCCTGGCTCACTGGGGAGAGCACATCTGATCAGCTGTCGACGGGGTGAGATGCTGACCTGAGGGTGGGGGTAGAAGTGTGCTCCCCAAACCACAGGCGGTTCCTGAGGAAGTGTGTCCTAAACGTCAGAAGGGAGTGCCCCGAACCTCACGCCGCCCCTTCTGCCTTACAGCGGGGAGGGGGAGGTGGGGGGGTGGATGGGTGCCAGGGAGAAGAGACCTTGGTTTTGTTTGCCTGCTGTTTATGGGCCGCCCAACTTCTCTGGGTATCTTCAGGTGTTTTTATTTTGTTTTCTAGCGGAAGCCTCTTGGTTGGGCGGACGCCGAGGCTACCAGAGATGGGAGCACCCTGCCTGCTGGGTGCTGGGCGCAGTGCGGGGAAGCCGGGGATCCGGTCACCCTGCCCCTCACCAGGGTTGAACCCGAGGACAGTCACAGCCCCATCAGGGGCCTCTTTTATAAGGGCACTAAACTCATTCATGAGGTCTCCACCCTCATGACTTAATCACCTCCCAAAGGCCCCACCTCCTCATGCCGTTACACTGGAGGTTAGGTGTCAACCCATGGATTTAGGGGGGACACATTCTGTCCACAGCAGCTTCCTCACCCCTTGAAACCCTGATGGGGTCATTAGTGGGGTGTCCCCCAATTCTTCACTCGTCTCTGAAAGCTTTGACCTTCAGGGTACAACTCTGGAACTATCCAGACTGGCAGAAAGTGACTGGTGGCTGCAAGATGCAGGGATGGGGGAGGACCCTGGGAGCAGCTGAGCAGGAGAGAGCAGCTGGCGTCCTCCCTGTGGGCTCCCAGCTGCCAGCCCCACCTTTAGATCTGGTGAAGCCTCTTAGTACCAGGCACCATCTGCTTAGCCTGGAGCCAGGAAGGATTCTTGGCACTGGACACTGCCCCATCAGGTACTGAGGCTCTCCATTTTTCAGAGACATGGAGACCCAGAGCATGGAGGTGAGTTGTGTGAAGTCACCCAGCTGTGGAGATCTGCTCTGGAATCCGGGGTTCCTGACACCCATTCTGGGTATTTAAAACACCAGATCAAATTGCCCACCACCAAAGGGACTGCTTCCCAGCATGCTGAATTCTCCCCTTTCTCTGCCACTTGGAGTAAAATGTTTGTTTAGTTGTAGGAACTGCTTCCACTTTATTGAGCACCTACTGGGTACTAGATGCTGGGCTGGGAATATGAAAAGAAAAAAAACACAGTCCTTGTCACTGGCGAGTGTGTTGCCTTACTGAGGTTTGTCCGGAGAGCACAAACAAGCTCTGGAAACCAGAAAGGGGATCTTCATGTTGCTTTATTTATGGGCCCACAAGCATTCTCTGACTCTGGCTGGCCTGTATTTATTTCCTTCAGCTACAAGATCTGACAGTCTTATTCCTGGCTCCCACTGAGCTATTCACAGCCGGTGCAGCGCTTGCAAGTCTAACTTACGTCCCTTGCTGGAGCCCATGTTCTCACTGAAAGAATTGCCAGAGAGAGAAAGAACAATGTTCTTTCCTTGGAGCAATGGCCCCGGAAAGCTCCTTATCCTTCTCTACTCCCAGTGGGACCGTCAATCGAAGGTCTCTGACTCTTCTTCAGGAGGCTGGCTCTCCAGCCCCGGGTGCCTCTGAGAGCCCCACGGGCTGCTCCGCCCTCTCCATCCCGGAGCCACCTCCCCAACGGCGGCCAAGGGGCGGAGCTGCCCTCCCATCGCCTCCTGCCCCCTCCCTGAGGGCGGGGCGAGCCTCTGCTCCACAGCCCCGCCCCGCCCTGGCCACACCCATCCTCCGCTGCAGGATGCGCCCAACCCCCCGTCGGAGGGGAGGAGAGGGGAAGGGAGGAGGAGGGAGTGGAGGGGGAACCGCGACAGGAAATGAGCTCGAACGCCCAAGCCACAGAGAGGGCGGCTCCCTGCCGGCGCTGCAGGTGGGTGCAAGTTCCTGAGGCACGGAGAGCTCACTCCGGCCTCCTATATGTAGCGTTAGGCCCTGGAGAACTTGAACACAGCGCTTGATCAGAAAGGCTTTGCACGTAATGCTTATCTGGCATTTGTGCTGGGGCGGCTACAAACACGGACAGTCGATGTTTCCTGTATCAACGGTGCCAGCAGCCCCCCCTCCGCGCTTGCCAAGGCTGAGGTGAGCGAGAAACACCCTCAAGACCCTGGATGGGGCCCCGGCTCTAACAGCTGCACTAGCTCCAGCCACGTCACTTTCTTGCTGGGTCTCCGTTTCCTCAGGGAGTTGTGGTGAGGCTGAGATAAGGACACGTGCGAAGTGCCGTGTAAATTGTGACATGCACAGGTGACTAACAACAGCCCATCTGCCTTCTTCCTGCCTGTCCTCTCTGGTGACTTGAGCTATTGGGAGAGGGCTAGCCGAGGTTAGAAGACACATTTGGGGTGTTCATGGTGTCTGTCCAGTTCATGATGACCCTTGTTTCTCCCGAGGCAGCACAGTAGAGCTGTGGAGAATACTGGTTGTGTGACCGTCGGCAAGTTACTCAACTTCTCTGTGCCTCAGTCTGACATCGGCAAAATGGGAGTGATGGTATTAATACCTGCCTCGTGGGCTTGTCATGAGGATTAAACAACGCATGTGAAGTTCTCAGTCCTGTAAATGCCTGGCACCTGGTAAGTGCTCAACGGGAATCAGCTCTGATTATGCCCCACACCTGGGCGAGATGAAGCAGAACTCAGCAAAGGGGCACTGCTGGTTCTTGTTGGCGTCCCAGTGCCCAGACCTCCACCTTTAGGTTCCTTCTGCTTCCTCATCTTCTTTCCAATGAACTGCCAATTTTTTTTAATTCTTTTTTTAATTCTTTTTTTTTTAATTGAAGTGTAGTCAATTTACAATGTTAGTTTCAGGTGTTCAGCAAAGTGATTAAGTTATACATAGTCTCTAACACTATATACAAAAATAAACTCAAAATGGATTAAAGACCTAAATATAAGACTGGAGACTATAAAACTAGAGGAAAATATAGGCAGAACACTCTTTGACATAAATTGCAGCATTTTTTTTCTAACCAGCTCCTAGAGTAATGGAAATAAAAGCAAAAATAAACAAATGGGACCCAATTCAACTTAAAAGCTTTTGCACAGCTAAGGATACCATAAGTAAAACGAAAAGACAACCTACAGAATGGGAGACAAATGATGTGACCAACAAGGGACTAATTTCCAAAATATACAAACAACCTCATGCAGCTTAATATCAAAAAGAAAAACAAGCAACCCAGTCAAAAAATGGGCAGAAGACCTAAATAGATATTTCTCCAAAGACATCCGGATGGCCAACAGGCACAAAAGATGCTAAATTTCATTAATTATTAAAGAAATGCAAATCAAAACTACAATGAGGTATATCACCTCACATCAGTCAGAATGGCCATCATTTAGAAGTCTACAAATAATAAGTGCTGGAGAGGGTGTAGAGAAAAGGGAACCCTCCTGCGCTGCTGGTGGGAATGTAGTTTGGTGCAGCCATTATGGAAAACAGTATGGAGATTCCTTTAAAAATTAAAAATGGACTTATCCTATGATCCAGCAGTCCCACTCCCGGTCATATATCTGGAGGGAACTCTAATTTGAAAAGATACATGCACCCCAGCGTTCAGAGCACCACTATTTACAACAGCCAAGACATGAAAACAACCTACATGTCTATCGACAGATGAATGGATGAAGAAGCTGTGATACATTTATACAATGGAATACTGCTCAGCTATACAAAAGAATGAAATAATGCCATTTGCAGCAACATGGATGGACCTAGAGATTATCATATTAAGTAAGGTAAGTCAGACAGAGAAAGTTAAATATCATGTGATGTTGCTTATACGTGGAATCTTAAAAAAAAAAGGATACAAATTTTATTTACAAACCAGAAATAGACTCACAGACATAGAAAACAAACTGTGGTTACCAGGGGGGAAAAGGCGGGAAGGGATAGATTAGGAGTTTGGGATTAACAGGTACATATTACTATATATAAAACAGATAAACAACAAGGACCTACTGTGGCACAAGGAAGTCTATTCAATTTCTTGTAATGAGCTGTAATGGAAAAGAAACCGAAAAAATATGTATGTATGCATTGCCTCTTTTGGTAAAAGCTAGGATCTCTCTTACTCCCGTAGCCCTGTAAGACACTCCATACTGGAATGTAAAAGAAACACTAAACTTCATTTCCTAAACTAAATTAATCTGACTTCAAGCCTGCACCTCCTTGAGGGGGATCATCCACTCTGGGTTTCTGAAGACCCCTCCCGACTCCATGGGCTGTTTGGGAATCCTGAGGCTTTCAGGGAACAGGAACAAGAGGAGGAGGTCTGGGCCATGGTCCTGGGCGGTCACTGCACCTCCTCCTGTTCCCTGAGCACTGCCCCCACCTCCAGGGGCTCTGAGATGTCCCCCACGGGGACACAGGCACACACAGGGAACCCCTGCCCTGCTCTTGAGACTGGGGAGCTCTGTGGACTTGTCCAGGGCCCATGCCTTGTGCCCTGGGCAGTCTGGTCTTCCCACTGGAGGAGTCCAAGGCCTTCACTCCCTTCCCGCCAGGTCTCAGGCCACCCAAATGAATTTTTTTGTGGGCCTGGGCAGCCCCTGAAGCACCAAGAGCCAGTCTGTATTCTATCCTCATCCCTCCTCGTCTGTCTGAGAGCCTGGCTGAGGAACATGAAGGCCTGTCTGTCCTTCCAGGAAGAGGGAACATTCGTCTCGTTTCATTCCTCCTGTGCAGACAGTTAATTTCACCGCCATCCCACACACTTGCAGCCAAAGATGTGTAAACAAAGAAGAGCAAAGAGCGTGGCCCACCACCCAGTTCTACGAGGGTTAAGTCATAATCCATGCAGTCACCCACCGCCCACCACCCACCGCCCAATAGACAGTGCACCCTGAGAGAAATTCAGAATGAAAAACCAGATGAGACACCCTGAGCTTTGAATAAATGGGCCCCTCGATAGTTTGATGCAAACCTCAGAAAGAATTTCAATGACCCATACATAGGGGATTGCATCTTCCCATACATAGGAAAGCACTAAAATCATCAACTTGAGAGATCTGTTCTTTGTGACTAGCAGTAATCTTTTCCCAAGATGGGTGCTTAACTGCATGTATCTCCTAACTGGAGGTCATATAGAAACTGGCTTCTCCTCTACCTCTCTGGAGTAGTTTCCTCAGAGCTGCTGACTGGCTGCCTCCTGGTCCTCAGCAAGACCCTGAGTAAAACTTCAGCTCACAACTCTTATGTTGTGTGTTTTTCTTCAAGTCAACAGATGTCTTAGAGGCCCCAGGGTTTAGGGAGGGTTCAGGGGAAGTGATGCCTGAGTCTTGGTCGGTCCAGACCGCGGTCCCTGGCCACAGCCCACTGCAGCCCTACCTGCAGCTCCTCATTGACCCGGGGATGGGAGGGCCCCACCGTGCCCACTTCGCTCACCCAGAAAAAGATGAGGCTTTGTTTGTCCTTCCCCAGCCCAGGCTCTGTCACATCTCTTTTTCAGATCCCACTTCCTGTCCCACCCAAGCCTGCAGGCTAACCACCCTCACTAACCACATCCTCTTCTTCCCAGCCTCCCTCCCTCTGTCTGCTCTCAGGTCACCAACACCCAGGTGCCCCTGGGACCAACACCACTGCTTCCCGGTTTGAGCACTTCCAGAGGCAGCAGGGATGACTCATAAGCCTCCTTTCCTTGTTCGCAGCCCAGGCCTCCTGTCAGCTCCATCCAGGCTGTACCTCGCCCTCAGCCCGGTGAGCCTCTTCCACTGGACTCTGCTGGTCAAAGCCCAGAGCTGCGTCCTGGGGTCTGCAGGACTGGAAGCCTCTAGACCCACACCCTCCCACCACCCTGCCCCAATCACTGGTCATTTCCTCCTTCAGGATGCAGAAGGGGCTTGCAGGCCATTGTGTAAACACCCAGGCAAGCCTCCTGGGTCCTGTCACCAAGACAGAGAAAAAACGGAGGTGTTCAGAATTTTCAAATGTGAGCAGATCCTGAAGAGAATTCTTTATTAAGCATCTTTCAGCAAAGAAGACATTCCAGTGGCCAAATTTGAGTATTTCTTTTCAACAAAACAGAATGACTCAATGAAGTCTTTCTTGCTGAGCAGAATTACATCCTCAGCATCTTTCTCAACCCAGTGCTTCAGAAGGCCAGAGCTAATCAAAGGATTTTGTTTGCCAGTCCTGTAAAGCCGAGGCCCCTCCACCCTGAACCTCAGCTGGGTTGGTCCCAGCTCTCACCTGGATGACAGCCACACTCCTTAACCCTCCCGCTGCCTCCAGCCTTCCTCACTCCCCTGCGAGTCTGAGCCTCCTGTTCCTTCTCGCCGGTGATGAAACCTTGTCTACAGCAGGGGGCGGCAGACTTTCTCTGTAGAGGGTCGAATACAAACATACTCAGGCCTTAAGGTAAACTCGGCCATCCTAGTGTGAAAGCAGCCCAGGTTGGGCTGTGTTGCAATAAAAGATCATTTACAAAAACAGGTGCCAGGCTGGATTTGGCCTGTGGGCTGCAGTTTGCCAAGCCTGATCTACAGAAGAAGGCGCAGACAGTCAGCCTGCACTGAGACCTCTCCAGGTGTGGTTCCTTTCTACCTCTTCACTTCACCTCCTACATCCTACATCCCTCTGCCACCCCTGCCCCACTCACCACCGAATCCACATTGCTCCAGGCTCCCCCAGGGCTTTAGCCCCTGCTGTGTCTTTGCCTGTGGTGGTTCTTCATCCTGGGAGCCTGGGCTCCACCCCTTCACCACCAGGGAATCTCCTACCTCTCCCTTCAGCTTCAGCATCACCCCCTCAGGGCCTTTCAGTGCACACCCACCCCCAGCTGCTCCCCTTTCTGGCTTCCTTTTGCCTGACCTCTGTCAACACCAGCCCTTCCCTTCTCTTCCCTTGGATTCCATCTTGTCTTGTTTTCTTCTGCCTCCCTGGCTGCTCCTCCTCCATCTCCTTCGACTCTCCAATCTCATCACTGATGTTCCTCGCTGCCCAAACATCCCCCCCTCTCTCACTCTAGGTGTTCTCCTCCCCAGGGCCTCACTTACTGCCCAGATGCTGATGCCTCCAGATGCACGCCTCCAGCTGGACCTCCCTGCAGAGCACGAGGCTCTCACCTCCAGCAGGTGTCCACACCCCAAAGCCGCATTAGTTGCTCATGCTCAGGTCCTCCACCCCTGAGCTCATGATTTCTGTTCCCACATCCCTCTCTGTAAGATGGCATCTCAGGGGGACGTTTTTGGAGCATCCTCCCAGTTCATAACAAGCCCCTTAGCCACAGACATCTGTCCACTTCCAGCTGTTTTACCCCCTTCACCCAACTGGACCCCCACTGGGCCACTGCCTGCGGCTCAGCAGGACACCTCTGCTCAGGTGAGCATGAGCCCGGCTGGCCATTCAGTCTCTTCCTGGGCAATTTGGAACTGGGTGGTGCTGGTGTTTCTTCAGGTGAATTGGCTTATGGTGCATGGATGGGAGCTATGGGAGAGGCATTTTCCACCAACCGGGGCCTGGGGAAGCAGCAAGAGTTGGTCTGGGAGAGAGAGAGGGGGGAGGGCTGCACAGGCAGGATCCGATGTGAGAAGGCTGGGCCGGGTCGTGCGCCCGTTGTACAGATGTTGATGAAGACTCCAAGGGAAGAGTGATGTGGTCCCAGGGTCAGTAATTCAGGTTTGCAGCCCTGACCTTCCTTCCCTCAACTCGGTTCCATGCCCCTGAGCGCCTGCTCTCTGCCAGCAGGAGGGTCCCCCAGATCACTGAAGCCCCATCGTGCTTCGGGCGGTGGCGACCCCCGCATCTCTGCAGCTGTGCCCCTCCTGCTCCTGGGAGCTGCCCCTCCTTCCCCTCCCACAAAGGGCTCCTGACAAGGGGGTTGAGAGCAGGGATGGCGGGCTGACCTGCTGGGTCCAGGGTGGTTGGGGGCCAGGAAGTTCTTTATCTTGGTTTCCACAGAACAAAGCTGGGCTGCTCCTCTGGGCCCTGGGTGGGGCGGGTGGGGGCTCTGGCTTTGGGACTAAACAGTTTACCATGTACTCTAGTCTGTTCTGGGAGCCCAGCAGGCCCAAGATGCTGCAACCTGGACTGGCCCCACGGGCAGGGAGGGACCAGGGATGGCCGCAGAGTCTCAGCGAGGAGCAGGGTGTTTGCCAGAAATCTCCAACAGGCCATCTGCTCCCAGGGAGCAGAGCACAGTCTTGAGAGAGGAGGCCGGGTTCCTGAGCCTCAGAGGACTCTCCTAAGGGAGTTCATTTTTTATTTTTTAAAGATTTGTTTTATCAATCTTTGATCCATTTGGGTTTTAATATGTTTGAATGCAGCCCCTCTGGGCCTCGGCCAGCTGCTCCCCTGCCCCATGCCGGCCCCCAGACCCCTTCTACATCTCAGACATAGAAGGGAGAAGGAACAAACAGTGGATGCCAGATGAAGGAAGAAGCAGGTTGATCCTCCAATTCCTTTAACAGCAATGCCATCCCTCTCAGGTAGCTCTGGGCTGGGGCGGCGAGCCCCCACCTGCTGTCCCCTCACTGAGACACTCCAGGGCAGCCGAAGTGCCTCAGAGGAGGAGTGGAATTACCTCCACAGCTGGGCCAAGGCACTGGCTGTGGTTCACAGCGGGGCTGTGAAAGCCCCGGCAGATGGAGGAGAAAGACCCCCGGCAGGTGGAGGAGAAAGACCCCGCAGGTGGAGGAGACCCACACGTTCTGTCTCTTTCACTATGTAGATGCTGACTAGCAATTCAGCTCGGGAAGGTTTTGCTTCTGGAACTAAAAAAACCCTTGGGTGGAGCCCTTGTTGGGGTAATTGTGTGAATTGACCGTGCATGTCCCACTGAAAGCGCTGGTGGGGGAGCCCCTCCTGGGTGGCTGGGTCGCCCCCTCATCAGTAAGCATTTATCTAGAGGCAGTGACACGAAGGATAGGCAGTGTCCTGTGTGGGGTGCTTGCAGGTGGCTGCTTAGGAAGGGAGCTTGAAGAGGTTAAGGGCGGGTTGGGGGACGATGGTGGCAGCTGGCGAATGTAGTGCTGTGGTTGCCACTTCTGTGTAGATCAGCTTTTCCGCAAGTGCAGTAAACAAGAAAGGGTGCTGGGGAGGACTGGCTTTCTGAGCAGAATCCAAACTTTGGTCAGATCCCATTACAACCAGTTTTGTATCACAATAAACATAGTCTAGAGTTAAAAAAAAATCCTCAAACCTCAGCTAACTATACTATATTGCTGAAATCCTTAATATGCTCCCGAACTAGTAAAATAGAAGCTCTCGAGGGTGCTTTCCTTGCTCTTGGCTGAGAGGCCATGGGCGTCTGCACCCTTTGCTGCAGGAATCTGTCCAGATCACAGACATTGGAGGCACGACTGGTACCTGGAGACATCTGTGACCGGAGGATCCTGTTTAAGATGCTCTCTCCTGCTCTCACAACCAGGTGCTTGTTTTTAAAAGGATTGTCTTCCAGGGTTCTCACACGGGTCTGCTCCCTGCCTCCTGCCTCCCCCTCACTCACTCCTCCTGACGCTGATCTGACGGCTCCCTCCTCTGACTCCCAGTGGCTGCCCTCGGTCCTCACCCTGCCTGAGGGCCGACACCTCCACCTTTCTCTTCTCCTGCTCCCAGGACTCAGTTCCCTGCCCCTTTCCTTTTACTCCCCGACTGGTCCCCACCTCCTTCCCCAGGCGCTCTTCCTCTGTGCCCCTCCCTTAGTACGGGAACTTCAGGTCTTCATCCTTGTTTCTGTCCTCTTCCCACTAGACTCTTACACATGGTCTCATTCACTCCCAAGGAGAACAGATAAATTCAGTGATGCCAACATCTGTCATGTCCAGGCCTCCTCTCTCTAAAGCTGTTTCATGTAACCCATTTTTACGTGCAATGTCTACTGGATATCCCAGAGGCATCTCAAATTCATCATGTTCCATGTTGAACTGGTCTGCTCCCCCCTGAATTCTTGTTCCTCCATCAGTCAGTGTACTTCACCTCAGAGTGATGTCACCGTCTCCAGCTCAGCCACCCAGAAGCCCGGGTGTTAGAGGAACTCAGGCTTTAGAGTTGAACCACTGGGCTCAGATTCCAGTGTGACCACATCCTGTGTAACGCTGGCAAGTTCCTGAACCCCTCTGTGCCTCAGTTCCCCAGAATAAAAACAATGCCCTTCTTATAGCATTGCAGTGAAGAACAAAGGCGATATCCCATGTGACGTGGCCACAAAGATAGCACGCAGTAAGCACGAGCTGTTATCACCTCCCTTCCAACAACAACACGCACACACTCGCCCGCTGACTCAGCCCTGTGGGCTCTGCCTCATCTCCACATTCAGACCCCTGTCCTCCACCCTCCTGGCCACAGCCTTGACTCAGACTTTGATTGTTTCCACCGTGAACGACTTCAATAGACTCTCTCTCCTTCATGCTCTCCCTACTCCAGGCCAGCTGGAAATTCCTTTTTTTTGGGTGAATAACAGCTTTATTGAGATGTAATTCACATACCATATAACTCATTCATTTAAAATATATACTCAGTGGTTGTCAGCCTATTCACAGAGTTGTGCAACCATCTCTACAACCAAGTTTAGACCATTTTTCATCACCCCAAAAAGAAACAACCCTGGGCCCATCAGCAGCACTCCTCATCCCTGTTCCCACCCTCAGCCCTGGCCAATCCCTAACCTACTTCCTGTCTCTATAGATTTGCCTGTTCTGGACACTTTCTATGAGTGGAATCATACAATATGTGGCCTTTTGTGACTGGCTTCTTTCACTTAATGTGCTGTTTTCAAGGTATATCCATGTTGTCTCAGGTTATTATTCCTTTTTATGGCCAAATAATATTCCATGGAGTGGGTCTAGCACATTTTGTTTATCCATTTATCACATGATGATACAACAAAGAATTGTTTCCACCTTTTGGCTATGATGAATAATGCTGCTATGAGATACTGTACATAATAATGTACTGTACAAGTTTCTGTATATTTCTCTATATGCCTAGGAGTCACACTCTATGTTTAATCTTTTGAGAAATTGCCGAACTATTTTCCAAAGTGGCTACACCATTCTTTAATCCTCTCAGTGTGTATGAGGCTTCTCCTTTCTCTATATTATTGCCGACACTTGTTATTATCTCTTTCTCTCTCTCTATTTTTATTTTTTTCACTATATCCATCTTAGTGGGTGTGAAGTGGTGTCTCACTGTGGCTTTGATTTGCATTTCCCTAATGGCTAATGATGTTGAGTATCTTTTCATGTTTATTGACCACTTGTATGTTTCCTTTGGGGAAATACCTCTTCAGATCTTTTGCCCATTTTTTAATTGGATTATTTGTCTTTTTATTGTTGAATTGTAAGAGTTCTTTATATGTTCTAAAAATGAATCAGTTAAAAGATATTTGATTTGCAAAACTCTCTTCTGTCCCATGGGTTGTTTTTGCACTTTCTTGATAGTGTCCTTTAATGTCCTTTAAAAGGGACAAAAGTTTTTAATTTTGATGAATGATGCCGATTTAGCTATTTTCCCTTTGGCTGCTTGTGCTTTTGGTGTCATACCTAAGAAACCGTTGCCTAATCCAGTGTCACAAAATTTATGCCTATATTTTGTTCTAAAAGATTTATAGTTTTAGCTGTTACATTTAGGTTTTTTTAAAAATCCATTTGAGCTAATTTTTATATATGGTGTGAAGTAGAGGTTCAACTTCATTCTTTTGCACCTGGAAATCTAGTTGTCTCAGCACCACTTATTGTAAAGACTGTCCCTTCTCTATTGAATTGTCTCAGCACTCTTGTCAAAAGTCATTGACTGTAAATGTGAGGCTGTATTTCTGGACTTAATTCCGTTCCGTCAATCTACATTTCTATCCTCGTGCTATCTTGTTCTGTCACACAGTCTTGATTACTGCAAAGAGTGAGGTTTGAAATCAGAAAGTGAGAGTCCTTCACCTCTGTTCCTTTTCAAGATTGTTTTGGCTATTCTGGGTCCCTTAAATTAAAAAAAAAAATCTGGGTCAGTCTCTTGCTTGAAGATCTTTTCGAATTCCCTTTGGACTGTGCGTCAATTGTCACACTGGTTCTGGTTTCCTGAGACTCCCTCTGAGGAGTAGGCTGTGTGGGAGAGCCAACCGAGGCAGCCAGCCTGGGCTGGACAGCAGTTGTGCTGTTCCACTGATGTCTCCATCACTCCTGCTGAAAGGGTGGCTGAGTCACGCGTATTTGAATCACAAGCTGGGAAGGGTCAGGCATTGACAGCCTGGTCTTGGTGGTCCATGGGCCCTAATGCACTTCTGGATTACTGTGGGAACTTACTACGATGCGGATGCCTGGGTCTCACCATTCAGACGTGCACCTTGAGCATCTGTCATGTGCTGGGCAGACAGACAAGTCCTTGCTCTAGTGGACTTTTCACTCTAGGGCGCAAGGAAAGGCCAATAATGAACAGGATAATATCAGATCCCATTAAAATAACGGTAATGGAGTGGAGAGTACTGGAAAGGCTACTTTAGGTCAGGTGCTGAGAGAACATCTTTAGGAGATAACTTTTCAGTGAAGATCTGAATGACCAGAGGGATTCTCCCATGGGAAGGTCACCTAGAGTGGCTGTAAGGCCCCCCTCCCCAGCCAGCCTCAGGCATGGCCTGCACATAAGGGTGTGTTAAGCTGACCTGAGCCACATCCTGTTCCAAGAATGACCACTTTCATTTCAGTTGTCTTCTTGTTATGGTCTCCCGCTTGTAGGTGTTTTCGTGATGTGACCTTGTTTTATTATTACTCACCAAGGGGTAGGGGAGCCATTCACTCTCCCGCTGGAACACACAGTCCCTGAGGGCAGGGGTGCCCTGGTTTGTTTCCATCTGTGTTCCCAGTGCCCAGAACAAGTTCTCAGGGAATGTATGTTGAATCAACTGCCAGAGCTCCATCAGCTGCTACGAAATCTGGTTACTGACTCTGATTCCTGGAGACTGTGAATAAATAAATAAACACCCTGGTGTGTGACAGAGTATTGCTGATTTCTGATGGGTGTTCTGTTTGGTCCAAACTGAAGACTGTGTGGCACATTTCTAAGAGTGCAGGTTTTGGTGACTGCTTTTCCTGTGAGGTCCTGTGTTCTTTTATGCACAACATTAGTGAGAGTTAATATTTGTTTGCAAGGATGTGCTTGGCACAGTCAGGAGCTGTGCCAAGTGCTTAATGCGTTACCCCTTTTTAGCTTTGTAACAAACCATATGGGGTAGTTGCTTTCATGGTCCCCAATTCACAGATGAGGAAATGAGGCACCTAGAGGCACCAACTTTCCAAAGGTCATATGGCTGCCAGATCAGAATCTGGGAGTCTCAATTCAGGAAATATGTCTCTGAAACTGATATTCTTGAGGGGAGGGTATAGCTCAGTGGTAGAGCACATGCTTAGCATGCACAAGGCCCTGGGTTCAATTCCCAGTACCGCCTCTAAAAATAAATAAACCTAATTACCTCCCCCCGCCACCACCAAATTAAAATAATCAAATAATACAATAATAAATAAATATTTTTAAAAAAATTTGATATTCTTGCCCATTATGCTATAACACTTCCTCCAAATAAATACCTCACAATGTCCCAGCCAATAGATTCTGCAGGGCAAATGCATCCAAACACATTCTTCTAAGCAGTTGAATTTTGAAGCGTTTTTGTTTTTTTTTTTTCATTTTTTGATTGTGGTAAAATACACGTAAAATTTACCACCCGAACCACATCAAGTGTACAGTTCAGCATTAAGTATATTCCTGTTGTGCAACCATCATCATCCAGCCGCAGAACATCTCACCTCAAACTGAAACTGTGCACTCACAAAACAAGTTCCCGGCCTCTGGCAACCTCCGCTCTACTCTCTGACTCTGAACTTGACTGGATACCTCATGTAAGTGGAATCACACAGTGGCTGTCCTGTTGTAACTGGCTTATATTACAGACGTGAGATCCTCGAGGTTCATGCGTGTTGAGGCATGTGCCAGAACTTCCCTTCTGAGGCTGACACATATTCCATTGCATTATATACCACGTTTTGTACACCCACTCATCTGTCCATGGACACCGGCTGTTTCCACCTTTTGGCTGTTGTGAATAATGCTGCTGTGAACATGGGTGTCAGAAGCATGTTTCTATTGTAGTGATTAAGGAAATCAAGGCCTCTGTGGGGAGGAGGCACTGTCACCTGGCACCCTGGCTCCTCTAGCATCCATCACGCCCTTGGTAATCCCTTTAAGCATCTGCCTCCCCCGCCTGATCGTGAGGCCCCTGAGGACAAATGCTGGGTTTTATTGTCTTGTTCCATTGCTTTACTGCCTTCCTTCTGGTGCCTGAAAGCTCCCATCCTCCCAGAATCCAGGTTGAGGGTACCCCAGGTGGGCAACATGGGCAGTGTGAGGACGTTGAAAGAGCAGCCTGGGATTTGGGTGCTCTGTGCTGGGAGGTGCCTGTAGTGGCCAATGCTGCTCTAGGCCCCGGAGAAGATCCTCCTCTAACACCCAAGGAGTGCTGCTCTTGGAAGATACAGTTACCCCTGGTCCTCCATCCCAGCCACCCCTGTTTCCTTCCCTGGCCTTATTTTGTCTTCTGTTCTCCCCAGGGCATCTTGGACAGGTGGGGCCAAAGTGAGGGGTATATGAAAAAGGTCAAGAAAGACCTCACTGGGAAGGTAACATTGGGGCAAGACATGAAGAAGAGAGGGAGGGAGTCTGGCAATATTGGAGAATGTTCTAGTAGAGAAGGTACCACGTGCAAAGGCCCTGAGGTGGAAGCCAACAGCAGGGAGCCCAGGGTGGCTGGAATTGGTGAGCAGAGGGGAGGGTGGCAGGGGATGAGGCCAGTGAAGAGGGTGAGGGGGGCCCTTGTGCACCACTGCCAAAGAAGGGAAGCCACTGGAAGGGTTTAAACAGACAAATGACATCACCTCATGTTTTAAGAGGAGAAAATCAATTGGTGGCTATGTGGCAAGCAGTCTGCGGGCAAGGGCAAATGCAGGGGACCAGTTAGGAGGCTATTACAGTAATTCAGGCAAGTGATGGAGGCAGTGAGGGTGTGAGAAGTGGTCAGATTCTGGACATGCAGCATTTGGTGGTAAAGCTAACAGGATTTCCCGACAGGTGTGATGTTTCTCTTCTAACACAGAGTACAGATGAACAGAAGAGCCCTGGATTAGATTTCAGCCAGCCTGGCTTCCAGTTCTGGCTCTGCCTCCCGTTGGCCACGAGATGAGGGTAAGCAAATCAACTCCTCCGATCCCCAGTTTCCTTATTTGTAAAAAGGAGGTGAGAATCTGCCCCTTGACTGGCAGCTTTTTCTGTGAGGATCAAAGGAGAAACTGCTCGTTGAAACCTACAGGGTGACTTG